TGCTGATTTACTTAATAATTTCCTGCCAGAAGTTGAAGCCACAGAAGAAAACTTCCACATTCAAGCTGCGACACCTTCATCATTTAGCATCTATTTATCTTTCCCTGTGTTCTTCCTTTCCTTTTCTCTGGACTGGCCATGGCCGCTGTGCTCTAAATGCAGAGCTGTCTCTGCTCAAAGGCATTCGTTTTACAATTTCCCCTTTTCTTTCTGCTTTGCTATGGAGTTTTTTTCTCTTTTGACCATGTTCTACCATATATAAAGGGCCTTACTCCTTACTTTCAAATTAAAACAAATAATGCAAAGACAGTTTTCATTGTTTTTACTTGCTGTCTTTACTTTCTTTTCATCTCCATTCATCATCTTTAAATGACCCTTTTGCCCTCATCATCCCCCAAAGTACTTCTTGTCAAAGTCATCCCTGGCCTTTAGATTGATGTGTCAAAGCTCACTTTCTGTTCTCACCAGACACAGGGCATTAGAATCTCTTACATGAGTTGTATCTTGCTCCTTCATGACCATCTTCTTTGCTCCCAGGACATTATCCTTTTTGATTTGCAAGCTTTTCCCATTGTCTAATAATTTTTATTGTTCATTTTCTGGATCATCTCATCTTCCCTTTCTGAAAGTATTAACGTGCTTTAGGCTTGAGCCAAAGGCATTTATTTCATCTATAATCATCTTTCTAGTTGACCTTAATACATTTTCATACTATTTAATATTATTACTGCCATCACAAGTCACAAACATCTCCAGCTCCAACTTCTGAACCTATTTTTCACACAATTTTATACAGCTAGTCCAACCCACATTTCTGCAGTTGAATTCCTAATGGATATCTCTGATTTAGCAGGTACAAAGCTAAGCTGTTGATTATGTTCCTCTTAACATGTGACACATTTCTCTGATTTATACACCTTAATGTATGTTTCTTGAAAAATATGTCAGAAACAAAAATGTGTACCTTTTTGTCTCAAAGTGCTTCACATAATATTCTATCTCCACAGATTAAAATCTGAACTATTAACTGCTCAGTGTCCTGCAGACTCTCTCTGTACCTTTTCCAGCCTTCTCTTTAGTTGGCTTCCCATTCTCTCGAGCCATTCTCGATTTCTTCTTCTCAGTTCCTGTTTTCTTTTCCAGAAGCACTTTTCTCAATTTCTATGCATCTCCTTCCTTTACTTCACTTAGCTTTCTACTTTAATTTTAGGTTTTAGACAAAGTTCCCCCAACCCTGGTCACCTATGCTCTTTATCCCACCCATGCCTTTTCTTAACAGTATGGCAAAATTTACATTTCTTCTTTTTGCTGTCCCTTCACTCCCTTCTCTTGGACTTATGTGTAAAATCCACCAGGGTAAGGACTTGATTTATTTTAATCCAAAGCCTTTGAGTCTATCATCCTAAACACCTCGAGTATCATATTAGTCAGCAAATATCCACTCTGAGATACATACAAGCTTATATCTGTAAACTTTGAGCCCACCTGCACAAAGCAAGTTCTCTGTATGACTAGTGTGTGAACATGACCAGTAAGAGATTCAGCTCAAACTCAGAGTGAGCAGACAAATAATAGTCAACCAAGGCTATTTATACCCTGTCAACTATCTATGAGAAACCAGCATGACAGAGCATGGGCCAGCTTAGCAGTTTTGTGTGGTGTTAACTTACTTTGCCTCTCCCATAAGGAGAAAATGCATGCATGGCAAGCAAATGAAAACCTTTAAGACAAAACTGTCAACAGTGAGTTGTAATTTTAACTGGCAGAATCCTCACTTTCTCTTTCATAGAGACAGAATATTAAGCTTGAGTCATTTCATGACTTTAAAAAATGTGTTCTAATTCTGTGTTTGTGGGTGTAGAGAGACTATGTATCAACAGTCATCTTCTCTAAGCCCGAATGTGGGGCCTGTAACGTGACAAATAAAACTTTGCTCAAGGGACAATCAACAAAAAAAGTATCAAAACAGGAACTGGCTTTAAAAAGAAAGAATATTTAGATATATTATGTGCCTCTGGAATGAGACTAGGCCCATCAAATGAATAAAAAATATATAGTGAAAAGAGAGGGAAGATACAAGATAAAAAGTATGACAGATAGGTGCCTATTTGGTTTATAGAGCAGACTATAATCGATACATACAACTTTGGGAATCATCTTTGAAAAGGGGGAAGGGTTTTGAATCTTGGTACACAAAATCCTTCCAGGAAGATAGAAAAAAAGTTGTCATTGTTTGTTTGTTTGTGTCAACTTGACCCAAATTTGTGTCATGTGGGGAGAGTGGATTTCAAATGAGAACATTCCTCTATCAGACTGGTGTGTAGAGGCAAGTCTGTAGGGACATCTTTAAATTAGTGATTCATGTAGGAGAGCCCAGCCAACAGTAGCTGAAGCTACCCTTTGGCACGTAATCCTGTGAGAGGTAAGTGAATGTTAGCCTGGAGAACAAGAGTATGTAGTGTCGATCCATCGTTTCTGCTTCAGTTCTTGTCTCCAGGTCCCTCTCTTTATTCCTCTTCATGATGGACCATGATGTGAAAGTGTAAGCTAAATAAACTCTTTCCTCCTCAAGTTGCTTTTGGTCATGATTTATCACACAGGAAGTACACTATGGAAGAAGTAGAGGTTATAAGAAGTGTTGGGCTTCTTTCCATAGACCACTGATTTTAGATTTTGTAGCTTGGACATTTCAAAAACAATAGTACACCGAAGGGTTTGCATGGCACTGGTAAATAGGCACTTGAAAAACAACATTTTTAATAGCACATTCTCCTTCAGCACCTTCACAGCCATGCATTTTCTGTGACTCATAGCTTTGCTTATGTGATGCTCTGTATGCAAGGCTGTGTTTCCTTAAGGGTTAGTTAGTCAGCCTCTCTCTCTCTCTCTCTCTCTCTCTCTCTCTCTCTCTCTCTCTTGCTGTCTCTGTGTGTATGTGTATCTCCCTAGTTAGAGGTTTGGGATTGATATACCCTGCAATTTTAAAAGGAATGATGAAATTCTCCATTGAATGAATGATGCTGTAGCATCTTCAGATTTAATACTAAGTAATTCCGATTCTTCATTTTTATGTAAAGAACCAGACAGATAGATGCTACTGAGTACTCAGTATAACGTACAACATAAGAAAACCAGGATGAAAATAGAGACTTGGTCTTGCAGCAGAATTTTTAAACACATGCTTGTGGGTCTTTCATTGCTTTACCTACAAAGAACTGCAGACACATTCCCCTCAGAACTGCAGCAGCACCATGAATGCCCCTGACCTCTCTTCTTACAGCCCATGCCCTCCAGTGTTTAGCGTTGTGTTTGCAGAAGTCAGAAGATAGGCACAAAGTGTGTGCTAGATATCTGAACTTTTCCAACACAAACCGCACTCTACCCCTGTAGGACTGATGTTACAATCCAGTATTAGTAGAGGCAGTTATTTTCTTTTTAGCTTATTTGTTTTAAGTGTATAATTCTATCTATTTCTGAAAAATATCTTTTTATTCTATAATTAAGGGGCTACTGGTTCTGACTAGGCTTGAGCAAGATATATTTTATTTGTGAGTCTTACTGTGTGATTCTTAGAAATCTTTAGTCATTTTTAAAGTATAAAAGAGACTTGAATATTTAGAAAAAATAAAATGTATAGATGATTCAGTTTTAGAATCATCTTTATCACTAATGGCAAAGTATTTTACACAGCTTTTGGAAAGGTTACTTTGTTAGCTAGTGAATATGCATTTGTGATACTATGCAAAATCTTGAAAAGTCAATTGCGTGAAGCCAAGGGTTGTTTCCTTATCACTGTGGAATTCACTGTGCCTTCATAGTGTTACCTACTAAAACTTGTAGATATTTGTTGAGCGTTTACAACCACTTGATGACCTTTTCTTAGTACTGAATGCAAGAATTAGATGCATAGATGAGCTAGCTTATTAAACTATAATGAAGTTGGATTCCCAATACAGACATCTGACCTCAGCTGGTACCATTTGCATGCCTTATGTTCATTTACAAATATGCTAGTGAAGGTAAAAAGAAAAGGTGCTTTGGCCACATGGCGAGCATTCTGTACATTCGCCTGCTTATTTAGCATTTAATAGTGAAACTTATTTACAGCTGATTTTCAAAAGTTGTTCATTTTACTTATGTATCTCCTGCTTGTGTCAGTTCTCCACCTGGAGGTTCAATTTCTGAATTGTTACACATGATTACACAACATAGAACAGAGCCTTGTGAATACCACAGATATTACCATTGTCTCCTCTTTATAATAAGATTCACCCTGTCACTGAGTTCTCCCTCATGTTTATTCCTAGACAATATTCACACACACATACACCACACGCCTGTATGCATATATACACCATTTCTATAGTTAGGGACATCAGTTACGTCTGGATGGGAGAAAATTCACAATCTTAAGGATGGTTACTCATTATCTTCATCAGAGATGAACTAGACAATATATCTATCTAAGTGGCATCAGGCAGGGTTCTTCATTTAAATTTTTTTACACACATAAAAGAATAGAGTAGATTCTGTGCAAAAGCATTAAATGAATCTGAGTTTACTTTAGAGATCTTTGGGATTAAAACATCAGTTCTTATATTTCATTTGTCACTCTCATTAACTGTCCTGTCACTTTCACTAATGGTGGCTATGATTAGGAACACAAAATTATATTTGAAAATAATACCTCAACTCTCTTTAGTTGGGTATCTGATACTTGCTATCTATCAGCTATGAAAAAACTGAGTTGAGAACGCCTGTATTGTATAATCTAAAGAGTTTTGACATCTTTAGCTTAAAGGGAAGATGGCTTGCTTATTCTATAACTTCCTCTGATGGCTTCAAAAAGGCAAAGCAAGCACAAACCCCAAGGAAAATTTCACACAGTCACACAGACACACCAAAGCAGAACTAAAACATATCTGCCCTGAGAAGCCAAGAAATGTACTACCTTGCCCCAAACCGGCAAGAATCCGATTACCACAAGGATGGATAGTTACCCATGGCGAAGAAAGGGATTCCCAGCAGGGTGGAGTTGTACTTCCCATCAGTGATGAAGAAGATCCCGGCTGCAGTGGCGATGGAAATGCATACCGTGAGCACCCCCAGGAGGCCCAGGAAGGGCTTACTGCGCAAGCAGTCCTTCATGGAGCTGGACAAGGTGGCCGTGGTCAGGATCAGCACGAGGCTCACCAGGACCTTGCTTCTGGCCAGGATGCTGGTCCTATGGAAGTCTCTCCAGAGGCTAAAAGATGCCAGAGAGTACAGTTGGAGGTCTTGGTGCTCATCCTGGAGCTTCCTCATAAGCTTACAGAACTCATTCTCCCACTTCTCCCCTATGCGGTCTTGAGTGGCAGAACCATAGGTCTGGAGGTAGTAGGTGATTTGAATGGCTCTGGCTGACTTGACCCGTTGGTCTTTGCTGTTTGGCACTTCCACTACCCCGCCCAGCTGGTGTCCAATAAAACTGTTCCTCCCATCCTTGAAAACAGAAAGAGGGGAGACTTCGGTTACCAGAAGGATGCACATTCCAAGGGGCAGTTTCTTATCCTAAGTGAAGAAGCACAAGGGAGGCAGAGAGCGGTGCCGGTGATGGTGGAATTGATGTGGGTGGAGAGGAAAGTCAGGATTTTATTCTCAACCTTGTGGACCTACATGGGAGACCCTGCGTGAGGAATAAAGAGGACGGAGAGAGTTCTAAAGCTGTACCAGACAGCCCACATGTGTAGGAAAAAGGCTCTTAAAGAGCGTGGCAAGGCTCACCGTAGGCCATGCTAAAGAGACGGAATACACTTTTCCTCCAATGAGATACTACACCTTTTCTCTGCAGGGCTGCTGGCCCTATCCCTGTCCCTGTGAGCCACCAAGAGGTTCCCCTGAGCCATATTCTTCCTGTAGTCTGAGTCAGAAAGGCACTGCCTCTTCTTTTTCCTTTTTCTGCCTATGTTTTATTTCAGGTTCTTGCCAGAACCTAAGTAAGTCTTTTTCCTGATGCTTTGGACTTCCTTACTTTCTCTAAAGCCTCCTTTCCTGCCACGTGTCTGCTTGTTCACCATGTGTCTGACCTATGTTCTGGCTTCAATGGCATGTCTTTTTTTTTCCTTCTTCCTTCCCTTCTCCAGTCTCCTCTTCCAGCAGTTTCTGATATTTACAGTTTGCCTGCCCCTTTTAAATTCTAAGAAAATTGTCTTTGAGCTTCAAAAATTAAAACCATCACTCTGTATATAAATATGCTAAGCATTCCAGAATTAATATATTCAGCAACATAAAATAAGGAGGTCCTTACTTCCTTACATTATGGAGATTAAATGGACAGTCCAGAATATGATAAATACTTGTCTAAAAACTAAAAACACTGCTTGCATATGATACAGGAACTTGTTGGGCCTGCCTGTATAGTCTCCCCTCCCTTCATTTGGCTCCGACTCAGACTTATCTTTTCCTAGAGATAAATTCCCAAATGAGGCTGATAAGATTTTCAGGTCACCAAACAGTGTCTCAGTTTCAAAGGTGGCCTTGAGGAAGTGTGGATAAAATCATTGTAGTAATTGGACAAGCAAAGTGGTCATTCCTCGTTAAAGCACACTTGGATGGACAAAGGATCACTACTGTCACTCTCCCCAGCCGGGGAGCTCCCTGACAGCCATCACAAACTTTTAATCTATTTGGAAGTTTCATTTTTGTCACATCTGTCTCCATACTTCAATGAAAATGGTTGTTAGATAGAATGTTGAGCCCAAAAGGAGGCTCCAGAATGACTTACAGGTCTGAAAATGAGCTGCTGCTAGCCAGGTAGCAGTACGAGACCAAGCTCATGCTCGAAGTAGTTTGTAAGTGAATGGAGTCAGAAAAGATGTTCTCACAAAGGTATGAAAGAGTTGATTCTTAGCATAGAACACTTCTCTCTCAGGAGCAGTAGGAGAAGGCAGCAAAACACTGATCAGTGTGCTGACCGTAGGAGATTACACGTAACTACTGGGCAGCCGGCTAGCCCGTGAGAAAATCACCATGGATTTGTTTAACCAGGCACCTGGATGTGAGGCACTTTTTTGCATTTTGCTTTTAACATGCACAAAAGCAACCTAATGCTTTAGTGCGTATTGCGAATGCAGCTTGGAGAATGATCAAACACCGAAGGAGAACAGTATCACAGCAGTTCTGTGTACCTGTCTCCACATGTTAAATAGTTACAGTCACCTTAAGAAACCAAACCTGAGCAAACCCAAATGAATGACTTATTTCTTAACAATTTAATTTGAAGGTTTTCCCTAGGTGTATCATTCACCTCCATGGAATCTTTATAATCTTGCTGTTTCTTTGTAATCAAACAGGCTGGGTAGATGGCTCAGTGATTAACTCATGGACTGTTCTTCCAGAGGACCCTGGTTTAATTCCCAGAACCCAGAAGACTGCTTATTACCATCTGTAACCCTAGTTCCATGGGATCTGACTTCTAATCTGGTCTCTATGGTCTCATTTGGTTCATAGACTTACATGCAGGGAAAACACCCACATACATTTAAAAAAAAATAGTAAAAAAAAAAAAAATCCTCAAACTGAAAGTTTAGCTGTAAGTTTCCTTGTTTAAACCCATTGGGTTTTGCAAAGAGGGTTGGCAAGCCTCTTTGAGAGATGTGACTCATACCCCAGAACTGGGTAGTGTAGATTTAGTTTGTGTTTGCCCACTATACAAAAATTGCTCATTTATTTGGTGTATTTTTATCTACGAGTCGACATAATATTTCAGTTCAAGTTTTCTTTTTATGGCTTTGAAATTCTGTCTTTTTGTGTGTCTGATTATCTGAGAATCTCCAAATCCGTATCCCTAAAGCTCTGTTTAATTTTAAGTACGTGCTGCTATATCTGTCTTAGCTCATTTCTGTCATTAAAGAGACCTCTGGGGAACTTCAGCAGCAGCACAAAGAGTTATGTGTCCCTCAGGTCTCACTTAGAGATTATAGTGGACAAGAAAGGTGCTGACTGTATTTCTGGACAAAGTCAAAATTTTAAAGATGTATAGAGTTTTAAATAGCCAAGTTTTACCAGCTGCTAACCTTCCTATTGAAGTCACCTAATTTATACTTTTTAATAAAAGTATCTTAGAAAAGATACACCTTAATCATATCTTTCTCTATTATATTTACATAAATAAGAATGGATTTCTGGTCCATGTTTAATCTATGTACCTGAATAATACAAATGAGGTGTTTTAAGATCTTGGATCAAAACCCCATTACATGGTTACAACAAGTATATGAAGTTGACTCAACCAACCTACCCTACTACAGTCCTTAGGAACACAATGATGGACATATGATGGGCATGAGGACATTCTACTATTGGATAAGAGCAGTCTCAAACTAATTAGACTTTAGATACTTCTAAGCAGGAGAAACTAAGAAGGAATGCAGCAAGTATTTATGTCTTTCAGAGAACTTCCTTGGAGTGGTAATACATTCAATGAGGTGAATGCCAAGAATTGCTCAGATCATGTGACTTGAGTTGCACTGCACAACTCAATCTAATTGGAGAAAACTTCAAACTAGTTTCGTTGCCTGTGTCATCTTCAGTATCATGATCCTTAATAGAAGGAGATATGAGTGTAGAAATGATTCTAGGATACAGCAACTTAAGTTTTCAGCTCTCTTACTCTATGTAAAAACTACCCACATGAAAAGTGTGAAGAGACTTGAATTTCAGAAACTCTGTTCTTATAACCACAATGGATTGGATGTTTCAGCACAGATGACATGTCAGCAACACCAGATGACATCAGGTCTCTGGTCATATCGTGGTGTGATTCTGCTATCAACTCTCCATATGATATCTGGAGCCTACTCATAAAATTTTTAACAAGACTACATCATATCTGTACCTAAAACCCTCCACTGTTTTGCACTTGCATTAGCCCTGCCATGGGGGCTGTTTACTGGGCCTGTAGAGCAATGCATGGCCACAGCGACCAGATATGTCTTCTGACCTGGCCTACTGCTCTTCTGTTCATTTTACCCCTTCTTTTACTCGTCCTTATGCTCTTTCCCTCTTCCTCTTCGAGTACATCAAGTAAATTTCTACTTCATGATGCTTGTGTCTGGGGTTCCACTCACTTTGAATATTTTTTATATTCTTCTTAAAGCCAGGACTACTTTCAGTTAAAGAGGTCCTGTTATAGATAAAAATGACTTAAATCATAATCTAAACTGGACATCCTGTTCCCCAAAGCCAGGCCATTTCATTGCATTGTTCATTGCAAAGCCAGAACATTGCATTGTTCTATTTTGCAAGCATCCTGCTAATGATTTCTATCTGAGATGATTGCATATAGTCATTCAATTGCTCATTTTCTATCTCTGAAGTTAGAGCACACTATCTGAGAGCCAGGACCTTTCTTGGTTTGCTTACTAATAACTTCCAGGAGCCTCAAGCAAGCCGGTTCTTTGCATAACATTTGTTAACTAAGGAAACTCACCTTCAGGTGTAAATTACTAATCACATTACTTTTGAGAGATTGTTTTGCTAAAATTGGGTAAGTTGAAACAACATTATCCAGCTTTCAATCTCCTTAGTTTCCTGTATCATTTCCCCAGCACATGTTACTGTTCAGTTTTCACTGTATTTCAAGCACAAGCAAGGCAATAAGTCATAAGTCAAAAGACTGGGGGGAGGAGGGGCTCAGTGAAAGCCAGACATCCATTGAGGGAGAGTTTACTTCGGAGAAAGACTTGATGTACTTTAAAAAAATTTTTACACTCAGGCACTACAGAGAAAGATTGGTGGTCAGGATGACGCTGAAGCAAAACGATCAGTTAGGAAATCCTGCAGCATTTCGGATTCTGGATGCAGTATAAGGAAAACGCCAGCTGAAGCAGTCTCCAGGAGGCAAATTGTTGCAAGGTGAATCAATAAAATTGCAGGTCACAATGCTGTCTCAGAGGCATCACAGTTTCTATCCAAGAACAGCAATGCAGCAATGTCCCTGGATCCCTCAGCTTGTTTTGAAACCTACTACTTGGTAGCTTTTAAATCACCTCCAGCCAGTCCACACTTCTGCAGTGAAGAGGAAATTAAACCGAAGATTTAAGATCAGAGAGTATGTTCTTACAGAGATAAGAAATGTGGAGACATTCATGTTGTAGACAAAAGTGCAGGGCAAAAAAAAAAATTATTCAATGGTGCTTTTGAATTATAAGAAAGCAAACAGGGTGTTTGCTTCATTAGATGCTAAGTTAACATTCAGATACATTTGTGACTGTGAAATAATTTGTCATCACAGCTCCTAGCCAAGGCAATTGTAATACAGATCTCATTGATTTTCAGTGAGGCAGATTCTGCAAGGAATATATGAGCTTTTAAGATGGTCAACTGCCTTTTATTACTGAAAAGAAAGTTTTGCTGCAGACAAAAGAGCTAGTGACATTTTAAAGAGAATGATAAGATTTTGTTTATTTGTATAAATAATACTTTCATATTTGTTTCTTAAC